TAGTTCCCTCCCCACCCGTTTTCGAGCTCACGATGCCCGCTCCCCGCAGCTCTGCCACGACCGTGGCTACCTGGTGACCCAGGACGAGTTGGACCAGACGCTGGACGAGTTCAAAGGGCAGTATGGTGACAAGCCCAGCGAGGGGAGGCCGAGGCGCGCTGACCTGACAGTGCTGGTGGCGCACAACGACGATCCCACGGATCAGATGTTTGTCTTCTTCCCCGGTGAGTTGGGTCGCATTGGGTCCGGTCCTGTCGCTTCTTTGGAGAAAGCTTTTAGAAACCCGACAGAGGGATGTGTGCTCTCGTAAAGGAAACGGACATTTCTCCTAAATGCTGCTTTGCCCGATTTTTTTTGTTTCACAGAGGAGCCCAAGGTCGGGATAAAGACCATCAAGTTGTACTGCCAGAGGATGCAGGAAGAGAACATCACCAGAGCCCTGATCGTGGTGCAGCAGGGCATGACGCCGTCCGCAAAGCAGGTACACAGCTGCCCTGTGGGCCGGCAGTATTCGGGCTCTTGGTGGCTAATGCACCGGGATCAGGGCTCGTTTGTGTTGACCTCTCGGAGCTCGTCAGCTGCCATAAGAGCGGCGACCGTTACTTGAGAGGCCTAGAGTCTGACACAGGCTGCAGCAGGGCGCAGTTGCAAGAGGGTGGTGCTCAAAGGCATTTTGCTTGGCTTCTGGGTGTATGGCGGGGAAGGGGCCAGGGCTACATGGCAACAGCAAGGATTGGGCCCCTTGTAGCTCCCCTGCCATCCGCCCCTGGCACACCAACATCTTACAAGTTGGGAGTCGGGGGTGTTTTCGGCACTGCCCAAAAATGTTGCCAACCTCTTCCCTACAGGGTAAGGTTGAGCTTTGCTTTTTTGTTTTTAAAGCCTGCGTGTTCTGAAAGGCACTTGCTTGTTATGTGTGGTAAGGCCATGGTGCAGCATCAGAGGCTGGGATTTGCAGTTGTTTGAGGAAGTGGCTCCTGTGAATTTCCTTTAAGAAGCAAACAAACAAAGAAGCACCTTGTGTAGGTGTAGAGGAGTCCATGCAAACATATGTGATATCCTGGCCCCAGAGGAGTTTAGGGGAGTGTGCAGTAGAGATGGACTCCTGTCACGTGACTGTGCTGGAGTCTGGTTCTTGGAAGAGCCCTGCTGGGCACAAATACCCTTTGGATTCAGTGTAGGTTGCTCGATGTATCGGCAGTTACCGCAGTGCTCTCCATGGGTCTTGCTTAGTATGCTGCAGAGATGATCCTGCTCTTACAGATCAGCTATGTGAGAAGTCCTTGATTCAGCTCACTAGAAATACCTAGGGAACATGCCAAGGTTGTACTCCTGCAACTCAGTTTCTTTCCTACTCCTCAGGGGTTTGGCTTGAACAAACTTTGTATTCTGGAGGGTGCAAGATACTGCTCTTAACTTCTTGTCAGTGAAGCTGTAGGCAGTGAAGTGCTTTATTGCCCAGATACTGCAGTGGTGGGCCCAGGAAAATCCAAGAGAGAATGAGACATTCCCTTATCCCGGCATTGCAGCCCAAGAGGGACAGAAGAAGTTAGGAGGGTGGGAGCAATTCAAGGAGTGAATAGAGTAGTAGGGAGTAAAATGTCAGGCTGTGATGGGGGAAGTGGTGCTTGCCTGTCTGCTGCTGGTGGGGAGGTCTGTTATCCACACCTGCGCATGCCCTTGAAGTAGCAAAGGCAATATGGTGGGAATGGCATACTCTAGCCCCAGTCTGAATAAAGCCAGGACCAGCTCAGTCTGGTGTGCTGGGCTTGCTGGCCCGTGCTGATGTTCAGTCTCTCTCTTCTCTTTTTTTAGTCCCTGGTAGACATGGCTCCCAAGTACATCTTGGAGCAGTTCCTCCAGCAAGAGCTGCTGATTAACATCACTGAACATGAGGTGAGTCCAGTGCCTGGGTACATCAGTGTGAGCTGGGCATGGTCAGTCACATCCTGGAGCTGTCTGGGGCTCCAGTCCCTTGGAGCAGTGTGCTTTTGTGCTGTTGGGTGCTGGCATTGCATTTAATAGCTATTCCAGTCTTTCCTCTTTGTTCCTAATGCTGGTCACTACAGGAAACAGTGGTTCTTGCACTCGCTTGCATGTGTTTTCTCTCTCTCTCTGTCTCTGTTCTTGGGTTATTGAGATTTCCCTGCTTCTGTACTTGCAGCTGGTTCCAGAGCACGTGGTCATGACAAAGGAAGAAGTCACTGAGCTGCTAGCCAGATAGTATCCTTTTGTTTCTGAGCCTGCCTGAAGCCCCTGCCAGCACAGATGTGCTTTGTGCTGGAAACAACCACACTCATGGTGTATACAGTAGTGCTTTTATTTGCTCTGGGCCTGCAGAGCAGGCAGCAGGCCCAGCTGGTTTGCCCAACTGGTGATCTTTCCTTCACTATGTTGCTCAGTAAGCTGAGAGAGAACCAGCTCCCAAGGATACAGGCTGGAGATCCCGTGGCCAGATACTTTGGGATAAAGCGAGGGCAGGTAAGGATTTTGAGGTAGGGTGGCACTAGGGGATGGTAGGTAGGCAAAGCCCCTGAAGTCCTACCTAGTGAAATTGGTGCTGGCCTTCTCTGCCCATCCATTGCTTTCATTTCCTTCATAGGTGGTCAAGATCATACGGCCTAGTGAGACAGCAGGTCGATACATCACCTACCGACTGGTGCAGTAGTGTGCAGGGTGTCAGGTAAGATGAAAGTGCATCTCTGCTTACAGAGGGGCTGGCTACATGCATGTCTCAAACCATGTTGTACATCTGTGCTGTAACTCCTCTGAGTTACACTTGTGCTAACCTCCCTAGGAAGCGATGTGGGAAGCTTGGACAAAACCCTGAACAATACGCTGCACCAGGGGTGTCAGACATATGGCTGTGGGCTGGATCTGACCTACAGAGCCGTTCCATCTGGCTCGCTGGGCTCCCTGGCAGGAGTGGGGCCTGAGCCCCGCTAGGTACTGTTGTTGGCAGCAGGAGGGTGAGCAAAGGCTGTTGACACTGTCCTCGCTTATCCAGTGGGGACTTGGCTCTGCTGCCACTGAACCCCTGCCACCATCCGATTTTGAGCCCTGTGGTCTGGGTCCAGCCTGGGGCAAAGATGGCAACCCTGCACTATATGGAACAGTTCTGCAGTGACAAGGATGGACCAGCTGAGACCTGATTGGTCTTGTCCCTCAATATCCACAACCTGTTAAACTTCCCATTGTAAGGTGGAGGACAAGTGTGAGGTGCCTTGGGCTGGGCATAGAGCACCAAGTGTCTGCCGAAGTTGAGCGGAAGCAGCAGTGAGATGTTCCAAATGCTGCTGCTTCTCTTGAGAGAAATCCCAGATTCTCTTTTTTCCAGGTTTGGAAGAAGAATGCAGTGGCATCCAGTGAACACCTTCTCCGGCACCGTTTTACAGATGCTTGGGCTTGTCTGTCCCTTTTACATACAAGTCCTTGAACTTCTCAAAATACACACATAAGAGTTCCCTGGTGGAAATCTGGGCTTTTTTAGCTCTTCCCTTGCTCTCATCTGTGGACTGTCCTGGAAGCTGCCTGGTTGGATCAAAGGTCAGACAGCCAGGACTATGCCACGGTCTATTTAATTTAGTAGGATTTTAATAAAGGCTTTCACTGTGGACATGTCTCTCTGGTACTGTTTCTCTCCAATCAACCCTGCAGAAGAGTTGCTTGGGGTCACTCCATGTTTCTCCCTTTCCATCTTGGAAGCAACTACTGAGCGCTGCAGTGAAATCTTGTCCTGCAGCACTGAGCTGTAGCGCCTCCCGGCTGTCATCACCCACACGGTGGTCTCCCTGTTTGTGGCAACACCCCTCAGACCTGCTGTTGGAGTGGGATGCCTCTCTGCAGCAGAGACTGGGAGCAGGCAGATATCCAAGCTGTGCTAAGCACACTGCTTGAGATGTGCTGCTGGGGAGCTGATGGCCTGCCTTGCTGGATGGGAGCTCCATCTGTTTCCAGCCTCTGATGTAGAAATGGTCTGTCCCTCTTCCCTCTCAAGGTGGTGAACTTGCTTTGTGTGGCGGTCAGATTTGGTAGTGGGATGGGGAATGGACACATGGGGCATTTGTACACATGCTTGTACTGCAGCACCGGGTGCTTTTAAAAGTGCCTGGCACTGTGCTGCATGTAGTTGTATAAGTGGCAAAATGCACGTCAGCGCTGAGAAAATGGCAGCGTGCTTTTGAACTAAAGCACGTCGAAGATATTTTAGTTCAGAATACGCTTCAGCACGCAGAAAATGGTGATGGTGCGCTTCTGCTGCTTATACAACTGCACGTGCTGCAGCACAGTTCACGTCAGCTTGTATGTAGAGCAGCCTCAATTAATCAAGTCTGCTCCAGTGCGCCAGATATCTGGTGTGTCAGAGAACGAAAATGGATGCGTATAAATGCCTGTGAATGCTGTTAAGAATGTAAAGCTATTCCAAATTTCTTTGAACCCCCTCTCTAAAAGTTTCTATCCCCGTAAATCTGAGGCGGGGTGGGCAGTTATTTTGGGTGGAGGGCTGCTTACTGAGTTTTGGCAAGCCAGCAAGGGCCACGTGACAGGCAGCCAGGGGCAGATAAATACAAATTTTCTACATTTTTTTAGGGGCCCTGCAGGCCAGATAGAATGGCCTGGCAGGCCACATCTGGCCCATGGGCTGCATTTTGCCCACCCCTGATCTAAGCCACCTCTCCCACTGATTGATGTGCTGCTGCCTTTCCTTTTGTGTCCTTTATAGCCAGGTGGGACTGATGTGTGATGGAGAAACCTGGTTAAGGTCCCACAGGAGGCCAGTGTAGTCTTGGGCCATGTGGTTCAGGAGCTCTGGCTCCTAGTTCTTTTGTAACTATTGGACCGTGACTACTCCCGCCTGAAAGCGGCCATCCCACTGCCTTGCTACAAGGTGTGTGCTGGATTCTGCTGCCTAACAGAACTGCCTTGGAGGAGGGCAGTGCTTGTCTCTCCTTGGCCCTGCAGCAGCATGAGGCTAAAAAAGGGAGGCTGAGACGTGTGGCTTTTGGTGCATACACTCATCCAAACATTTTATTTCACTGAAGCGGGTGACTTGGTAGAAAGCACAAGCCACACGATGCTGCTCTGTGCGCTGGGCTAAACCTATATACAAACAAGGGTGATGATTTTCAATGCCAAGCACAAGCAGAGCCCTCAGAACAGAACGCTTGGGCATCGCGGCCCATCCACTCCCTCTCGCATTCACCCATCCATCCTTGCAGACGTGCACAGTACCGCCACTGTTACTGGTAGCACAGCGAGCTGGTGAGTAGTCCTGACTTCTGCTATGGAAGCAACCTGTTTTAAACACAGCTCTCCTGTTGATGAAGTATGCGGCAACGATTCTTGCTTGTCTTCCCAGCTCCATCTCTTCTATGCGTTGTATTCTGTGTACCTCTTTACCTCCACCTCCTCTCATAAAGAGCTGCATTATCCTGCTGGGCTTTGCTCAAACAAGTCAGAGAGCTCTGGATGTCACATCCATGAGTTCTTTCTACTTGTCTGGATCTCTTCTCTGCCCTCCACAACATAGAAGTATCTATCCCACCCCAAACCCCTGAGGTAGCCGTTCCTTCAGTACGTCTTCAGCCTGCTGCTTCTGTAGCGTAGCTGGCCTGAGGATGACTTGGACTGGCTGTTTCTTTCCAGTGAAGGGACAGAGTTCACATGCTGAGCTTGATTGGCTTCAAAATGGGTCAAACTCCTTTCTCTTTCCAGCTGTGCTCTCTACCTAATGTATTTAGCAGTGTGTAGTGACCTCTAATGGCAAAGCCTGTTCTGCATGAAGGGGCAGGAGTTATCTTTGCTAACCCCGTTGGCTGCTGAGGGGGTGTGTCTGGTCGAGTTTCAAAATGGCTTTGAATCGGTACATCTAACTAGCCTTGGGGGCTGCGGCCTGTTATCAACAGGGGCAGATGGAAAAGCTGATGGAGACTCGGTCAGCCTGTCTGCTTCAAATGACAGGAAGCAAAATTGCAGCAGGGGGCTCTGCTTGAAGCTAGCATGCAGCAGACGGAAAGGCTGCAGGGGCAACCTCCGTTCTCTGGTTTCCCACATTGTACACTGGCCTATTTGCTTTGAGAGGGCTCTGAGGCTGGGTAGGAGACTCCCTGCTCCCTTGCCTGTGCTGTGCTACTCCCAGTGCTTGCCAGAAGAAAGCAGAAGCCATTGGTGCGGCAACTCAAAGGAAACTGCTTTCAGCTCCATTGTTTAGAGCTCGTCCCATTCTGGTTTCTGCTGCTCCTTCCCTGCAGAACCGTCTTTGCTGGGCTCCGTTTTAACATCATGAGCAGCAGTGTTGGACACTCCAGTGTCTTCTCTGCTGGAAGGTGCCAGGGCTCCCTGCCAGCCGAGGCAGCCCTAGGCTTAGGATGAGAGAGCAAGTCGCCCAACTTCAGTGCAGGGGCCTGCAGGAGTGGCAGTGCCCATGTCTGGGATTTTCACAGAGCTGTAGCCACCCTTTCTTCCATAGTGAAGCCACACTTCAAGTCTCTTTTGGATCATTTGAGATTAGAAGAAACTATGCAAAGGACTAAACAGTGCCTGGGATCTCTCAGGAACTGCCCCGTGGACAGTGTGACTGGCAGTGACCCCTCGGGTAACTCCCAGCTCTGAGTTACAAATAGCTTACAGCTCCTGTGCTCTGGACAGGCAGAGAATGCCCATAAATAAAAGCAATGGGCAAACTTTTCAGTGGAGAGCAAAAAGGCACGTTGGTGTTTATCTCCTGTGTTGCAAGGAAGCGCCAAGATTCCTGCAGTTCACTTGCAGCTGAGATGTGGATGTCTGCTCCAGTTGGTCCCACAGTCCATGTATTTTGTCAGGATCTGGCAGGAATATACTGCATCAATTCTCAAAACCTCCCTGCAAAGCCAGGCAAGAGGGCACGTGGCACTTCTACCAGGCCAGCCTGAGGCTGGATATTTTCTGGGACCTCGATTGCTTTTGAGTGGACCAACTTTGGAGGCTTGGAAGTCCTCTCCAAGAAGCTGGGGTATAAGTTTGTCCAGAGCTGTCTCTGCTCCTCATGGTGCTGTGTGGCCTGGTGTTTGTCCTCTGCCACCCTGCCTGGTGCATAGGGCTGCTGTACTGAGTGTTGAAGGATCCTAGATGCTGCATAAATACAAAATGCTAACTCTTGTTGTCTTGATAAGTGGGAAGGAGGCAGTGCTCTCTCCCAGCAGGTTGTCCCTTCAGCTTCTTCCTTTGCAGTCTGGTCGGCTGTGTTATTGGCAGTCTCTCCCAGCACCACCTGTGGCAACTGCAGTGATGTAGGTGGGTCAGGTACTGAAATAGCTCTTTCCTTGCAGAACAGTTTAAATAAAGGCATGGGGTTGGGGAACAGGAAGATGGGAAACCCCCTCTGGCAGCCCAGATGGGTACAGCCAAGTCACGATCTCTTTACAGTCCAGTGTAGCAAGATAATATAAACCTCCGCGGGGCTCCTTGCAAGAGGATATCCTGCTTGGATGCAGTTGTCCACCTGCAGCTCTGGCAAAGTCCTGCAGAAAGTCAAGTTCCTCGGGGGTTTTGTATGGACATTTCAGTCATTTGGTCTGCAGCCAGCATACAAAACCCTGGTGAGCTGCCTGAAGCACAGCTCCGCTGTAGCCCCTTCTCTTTCCTGACTGTACACAGCCATGCCTGTGGCTTAGCTGCCGGTGGGGAGCTCCTGCTCATCTGCCCTCCCCCAGTGTCTATCGCGTGGCTTTAGCTTGGCGGCCTAGACAAATCTGGGCTGCCGCTCGCTGGCCGACCTCACAACCAGCTTGCCGTCCCGTAACCGAATGGTGGGCAGCAGCCCGTGCCCCAGGCTGCAACGGGCTGGCGGCTTGTTGTTGGATTGGTTTGTGTTATAGTCAGAGAGCGGTCTCGCGCTGCCCTCCCTCTCTGGCCCGGAGTCCTCTTCCGGATCGCTCTGCTCTTCCCCCGGCGAGCCGCACTGGCGAGAGGCGGCACACTCTGCATCCCACTGGCCCGTGCTACAGGTCCTGCTCCGCTGCCCCTCGCTCAGGTCGTCGCAGGAGTGAGCCTCGTCCGCGCTCGTCTCGCTGCCTTGCGTCACCAGCGGGTGCCGGGGGGCGTCCTCGCCCGGGGCCAGCAATTCCCCACCCTCTTCCAGCTCGGAGTCGGAGTCTAGGGAGCGATCGGCGGTTTCTAGGGGACACACAATTGATCACACTCCTGCCCAAGGCTGTGGGAGTAGCAAGACCTTGGTGCAATGGAGCCTCTCCCTGCCCGTGGATTTCTGTTTATCTGCCCATAAAGGTGAGCCTTTGGACCTGGGCCCCATTGGCTACAGTGGGTCCTAGTGAGTAGCATCCCGTAACATCAAAAGCATGCAGCTCAAATGAGTGATGGAAGTGAGAGCCCAGCTGAGCCTGCGCCTGGGAGAACTGGGGTGAGGGGTCGAGCCAAGACCAGTGATGGCGGGTCTGTGCTGGGCAATGTAACAAGCCCACCTCCACCAACGAAAGATGCCGATCGGTGGGACTGGGGACTTACGGCAGGACAGATATAGCACAGGTTGAAGCAGCATGAGCTTCTTCTGTATGCGGGGGTTGCAGGACCAGGGCTGCCTATGGCTTGCACTCACCTCCGTACGAGTCTGCGTTGTAATCAGAATCCCCCTTCTCCGAGGGCAGTTCAAGGTAGGGGCCGCTGCCTTGCGGAGCTGCAGCCAGTGAAACCGCATTGTCCTGGGAGGCAAGGAAAGGAGGTAAATGGTGGGAGGTGAGAAGAAGGGGCAGTTTAAATAGGGCAGGTCGTGTGTGTAGGGGGGAAGTCTCCTGGCTCTGTGTGAAATGGCTCCCAAACTCCCATTCAGAGGAAGAAAAGATATTTGTGTCTCTGCGCCTCGCCGTCCTTATGGGCTTACTGATTTGCACTGCATGGCCGCTGCAACAAGGAACCCATCTAAGCTGAGCATGGCTACCATAAGGCTGCGCAGGGAAAGGGGCAGGTTTCACTAGCCCTGTGAAGCCAGCACATTTGGGAGGTGCCTGGCCTGCGTTCCCCAATGCTGGCTGGGGCCTGTGCATGCTGCTGTGATGGAAATAACCCTCCCAGTGGTACATTTCAATGCTGAAGGGAGCAGCTTGCATCGACACTGGGGCCGTGTGAGACCAAATGAGGCAGCTGGTTGGATCCTGGATCGAAGTCTGATATTCAAGGTACGGCTGGTCCCAAGCCAGACGCCAGATGCATATTCAAGGCCCAGTTATTCTGGCTTCCTTCCCTTAAGCCCTGGTATATCTCCCTCTAGGGACTCCTACCTTGGCCCTGTCCTCTTTGGCATCCTCAGCCCTTTCGCTGGAATCGGGCAGCAGCTTGGCATCTGTGGTCTCAAAGATGGTTGTGTAGAAGATGATGAGGGCCTCGATGATGCGGGCTTGGTGGGGGTAATCGACCAGCGAGGACAGGGAAATGGTGGCCTCGGTGGGCCTTGGGCGCATAAGCGTGGGCCCAAAGACAATGCCCAGGTTGCCCGAGGTCATCTTGTTGTCCTGCTCCACTTCCACAATCCTGAAGCAGACAAAGAAGACAAAAAGGGGCTTGTTCATGATGTAATGGTGTGGGGAGCAGGGCCTGGAGGACACAGATGGGCACACTGAGCTTGCACATCCAGAGGACTCGGGGAGGAGATGCTCTGCTGATACTACAGGAATCCACATCCTTGGGGGACAGAAGTCGCCACAATCATGCCTCCCCCCACAAATCATCCTGTCCTGCTGAGAGAGGCTGAGGGAACTGGACTGATTTGGCCAGTGGAGAGAAGACTGACGGGGATTGAATAGCAGCCTTCACCTCCCTGCAGCGGGGTTGCAAAGAGGATGGAGCTGGGCTGTTCCCAGTGGGGGCAGATGACAGAAGGAGCAATGGGCTCAAGCTGCAGCAAGGGAGGCTGAGGTTGGATATTAGGAAAAACTCTCCCAAGGAGGGTGGGGAAGCTCTGGAGCAGGCTCCCCAGAGAGGTGGTGCAATCTCCATCCTTGGAGGTTTTCAAGATCCAGGTAGACAAAGCCTTGGCTGGGATGATGTAGTCAGGGCTGGTCCTGCTTGGAGCAGGGGGCGGACTACATGTGACCCCGTTTGGTCCCTTCGACACTAATTTTCTGTGATTCTATGAAACGCCCACCTTCTGCCCTGGGGAGAGGCTGACCTGAACCCTCCCACGATAGGGACGGGGAACCAGGGCCTGGCACATTGTGCCCAGTCCCCGCTGCCCGCCTGGCAGCCCCCACACCCCCGCACCTGCACAGGTGTTTCATGATGTACTGTAGCGTGGCCATGTTCTCCCGGGGAAGCTCCTTCAGCAGCTCCTTCAGTTTTAGCACCAGGGTGATGACCACCTTGTCGGTGTCGGCGCCTTTGTCCACCAGCTCGGGCCCCCCCTTCCCACTTTTGCCCTTGGCCTCGCCCCCGCCTTGCAGGCTTTCCTTGGCCAGCCCCATGAGCGCGTTGTACAGGCGGAAGGGCATGACGGGCTCCGGCAGCTGCAAAAAGAGCAGAAGGGAGATGGCTTTGTCAAAGCAAATGGGCATCGTATGGGCTGCGCAGCCAGCTGACGCTGTCATGTAGAGTTGGTATCGCAAGAGGCACCTGATCTCAGAAACCCCAGCTTGGGCCTGAGCATCCAAACCCTTCCACCTTCCTCAGCCAAGGCGTATTCACTTCTATGGCTAGCAAGCATCCCAGATCCCACCGGAGAGGGGAAGGGAAGAAAAAGGCCTCCCTGCCTGCATCCCAGTATGCTGAGCCCTCTCGTATTCCAGAGCCCAACTTTTAGTGGCGTGATGCAAAGCTCAGCTTCATCTTGCCGTTTGGTCTTACACCAGGATCTTTCCATTTAACCCGCACCTTCCTCCCGCCAGCCGTAGCCATCTCTGAGGCTGGGCGGGCAACGTGCTGCACAGCGCGGATGCCAAGGCCCTCTTGGCGTAGCGTTGAATGTCCCTGGGGAGCAGACAGGTTCTTGGTTTGCAAACTCCTCCCCCCCGTTATTTGTGGATGACCTCCAGCTCAGAAGCACATTGAACAACAGAATTCAAAATGATCTCGATACGTGGGAGAAATGGTCTAAAACCAACAAGAGGACATTTAAAAAACACAAGTGCAGCATACACCACGAAAGGGGAAATTAGCTGCTCTCATGCAAAAATGGGAAGCAACTGGCTGCACAGCAGTCTTCCAGGGGACCACAGGCTGAACAAGTCCCTAATGTGATGCTGTTGCCAAAAGGACGGATCTCGTTCTGGATCGTGTTCAGAGGAGGGTCGCTGGCAAGAGGTGGGACTTGGGGCTGCCGAAGGACCTGGCTGAGCGTGAGCACCGCGCTCTGCGACATGGGAAGAGAAACTGGGGCAAGTCCAGACAAAAGCACCGAGAACACAAAGGACTTGGAAAACATGACGTGTGTGGCAAGTCTGAAGGAACTGAATGGGCTTTCTCTAGAAAAAAGACCAAGGGAAATCACCATAGGTCTGCAAATCTGTATGAGGGTGACACAAAGAGGAAGCGAACTGTTGTTCTCCATGCTGGCTGTGGGTAGGACCAGAAACCCTCAGCTTCATTTGAAGCAAAGATCATTTCAGTTAGTAGGACAAGGTCGCTAACTCTGAGGCTCATGAAGCATTACAAAGGGCTAGGTATGCTGGACCCCCGGCAATGGCGGGGTTTAAGAGCAGGCCAAGCAAAGATCGAGGTAGCCTTGGTTCTGGCTCAGGGCAGGGGACAGACGGCGGTCCTTTGCAGTCCGACATTTCCATAACTAGTTTGGGGGCATCAGCAGCCAGGTGCTCGGGGCCTGGCACTGCTCTGCTCCTTTCTCACTGCTGTGCGTGGCTGCCCTGCCTTGCCGTAGAGATCGCAGGCCAGATTCTCAGCCCACGCGAATCCGTAACTCTGCTGCCGCGCGAGGAGCCCGGCTGAGTCGGCACCCTGGCCCTTTTTGTGGCGGTCCTTAAAGAGACAAGTTGCGAAAGAGTTAAGGTGCAGGGCGGCAAAGCCCAGCTTAAAAAACGAGCGAGAGAAGCTGCTTCCTCTTTCCCTGCCCTGTGGTGTCTGTTCAGGCATGTGGGCAGCAGTTTGCAGTGCTGGTTTCACTCACTAGCACCTGGGCTGAAGGCATGCAGGGTGCTGCATGGTACAGACCTCTGCGAGCACCGAGACACCAGCAGCAGCTGTTTCCGCCGGGGCTGCTGTGAAGCGATGCCCCTGGCCAGGAGAATTGGGTTTGACTCCCTGGCTCTGCAGCCACCGTTGCACCCAACCACTGCAGAACAAGGATCCTACTTCCCCACCTCACTGGGGGGATGGGAGGAGAAATGCCTCGGAAGAACAAAGGAACTACAGCAATGGGCACAGGAGCGAGATGCAAAGCACTTCCCTAGCCACTGGGTTCGCAGGCCCAGACGGAGAACAAAACCTGCGATTCCTGCAGGGGAAGAACACCCCACCCTCCACCCCTACATGCGTCTAACTGCACTGCACGCCCGATCTGGAGGGACGCCGTCTAGGCCTGAGGATTTTGCAGCCGCAGGTGAAGCTTTGCTCAGGTGCCCATTTCTTCAGGAAGAGCAGCACCCGCAAAGCTGCCTGCAACCCATTGGCCAGACAAGCTGGGGCCCCTCTTCTGGGCTCTTCTCAGCACCCGACAAGGCTCGAGTCTTGCCTTTCCTAACAGAAGCTGAGATTCCAGGGTCGTCTCCTTTTTCAGGAGCTGAAAAACCACGATAACAGCCTAAGAGTTGTCCACGCTGCTTTAAGTCACCAATCTCGAGCAGGCCAGTGGAGACCTAAGGTCACTGCCACTGCCATGAGCCGTCCAGCTCATGGATTTGAACGCCAGCGTTCGTCCGAGCTCCTTCCCCTGCCACAGGTCGCTCGGTGGGGCTTGGTGCAAGAGAGTTTCTTGGGAGGTTTCCCCCATCCCCTCCTCTGCGGAGGGGATCCCCAGCAGCCACTGGCTTCTTACCTGTCGCAGGTAGAGCTTCAGGACATTGCTGATGTCATGCGGGGAGGCTTGGGACAGCTCCACCAGCTCCTTCCCATTCTCAAATGCCTGGCAAAGCTTCTCCACGCGTGTCTTCACGCCATTGACCCGGTAGATGCCCTGCAAGGAGGAGATAACAGGGGTAAAAGACTGGGAGGGATGTTCCTCCTCTGGGTGACATAAAGCAGCAGTTTTGTGGCCTCATATTTAGGTACAGTGGTGCCAAGTGATTGCAGTCGCCTGCCGCCGCCATTACTCCTTCAGAGAGGGGAAACTGAGGCAGGGAGGGGAAGTGACTTGTCTGGGACTACAGGTAGGCATTGTTGGAGCCAAGGTGACTTATCAATCAAGTATTCCTGGCTCCCAGGCCACTAGGAAGAGACTGATAGCTCCGCTGTGAAATGCAGACTCTGCTCCACCATTACTGAGAGAGGAGCTCCATGTAATGACCCCAAGGCACTGGCCACACACGTGGAGTTACCCAGCTCAGCTCAGCTCAGGAGACAGGAATTGAGCACGGTTCAGACGACGGGCAGAGAAGAGGCACCCACCTTGGTCTTCAGAGCCCGCTTCTCAATCTCGGCGATGCACTTCTTGATGATGAAGGGGATGCCATCCGAGCTGCTGCGCAGAGCCTGCGTGAAGTCCTGGCCGAAGAGCTGCAGCTTCCCTTGGAGTTTCTTGTGTCCACACTGGATGGCCAAGGTCTCCAGGCACTTCTTGTGGCAAGCCAAATAGCACTGGAGTGGGCAGGCAGATGGTTGGAGAAAGACAGGAAGACGTCCCCCCCACACACACCCTGAGAGAAAAAGCTTCAGGCAATGGGGCTGGCTTTGGCATTGAAGAAGTGCCGCGCTTGGGAGCAGCGTGTGGCCAGACAGAAGTCTCCACCTCGGGGACATCAGAATGACCTTCCCAAAGAGACGCGTGCCAGCTGTCGTGAGAGGAGCCGTCATGCAAGAGCAAGAGCGTGTGGACCTGAAACGCTCCCCCAGGTTTTCTGTAAGAACCCAGCAAACCTCTATGGGGCATTGTCCCCAAACCCGCCCCTGCACCAGGGAACCGGCCACGCGACAGCTCTCCAGCAGGGCTTCCTCGGACACCCGTTTTTTGCAGGCTCGACCTGCATTTGTGCTCTTCCCTTGCATGTGTGAGCCCCTGCTTGCGTCTGCACCTTGGGCACATAAAAGCGACGTCAACTGCAGAGGCGCAGTGGCTCCTCCTAGTCTGCAAAGCTGCAAAGCCAGAGGCTGATGACGGAGTGGGATGAAAGGCTGGTGCCACCTCTACCATGCACAGATTTGGCTGCAGCCCCCTTCTCTTCCCCCTCCCTTACCTCCTCACACTCTGCCCCCTGGAAGTACACGTAGCTGTTGCATTCCCGGCATTTGGACGGGGTGCGGAGCTTTCTCAGCCGATGAGTCTGGGCAGCCTTGGATAAGCCCATGTTTCGGAAGGGGCCCGTGGGAGCCGTCATTTCCGGGGTGATCCCATTGATGCCTGGAAGCAGAACAGAAACAGGTCCCTCCAAATCTGGCCTCACCCCGAGAAGTGAAGGCAGCGAGAGGGGGCAACCCCAGCCATGACCAGGTCCCTCAGTGATGCTACAAGCCAGTCATGCCTTTCATTTGGGCGTAGGGACTTTCACATCTCCGTGGCGTGACAGTAGGAGATTCCTGAAAGCAAACAGCACAGGGCTGCTCAGGGGAGTTCCCATCAGTTCCACGTTACTGGGGCCCCTCGTTCATGTTCATTATTGTTCTAGCTGGGGAGATGGTGTGCACGGCAAAGCCCAGCATCCTTCTAGGTCTGCTTGGCGCTGGATTTTTTTGGAGATAGCCTTAAAGCTATCTGTCTGAACATTAAACAATCCCGAGAGACTGATGGGCTTGGGCTCGGCACCCTCAGCCAACCCTCCTCCCCTGCTCTTCAGTGCGACGGACCAGCTGCCACAGCCGGTCACTCGTGGGGGACCGCATTTTAGCCAAGCTTGTTTTCCATAGCCTGGGAGCATTTTGAGATGGGAGACTTTGCATTAAGATAAAATAATATCGTGTTTGCTTTTTAACTTCACCCCTCGGTTCTCAGCTTCTCAGAGCTCAATAGCGCGTGCCCCAGTTAATTGAAGGTTGCCAGTTTTCCCTCGCCTGAGTTCAGCGATTACATTTTATGTTAAAAACAGAGTGCTTTGGCTTCCTCATGCTGAGGGCTCTGGCACTGGAGTATTTTTGCACTTCTGCTGGGTCAGACAACCTGCTCCTTCCTCCACTGGAAATTCATGATCCCCTGAGCGGTTTCCCATGCCTAAGGACACTTGGAGACTCCCAGCTGCAAAGAAGCCCTTGCTCAAGTTCTCTGTGCTCCCCTCCAACTTCAGGAGGGGGGGGAAAAAAAGGTGCCCCCAGGTTGTCTCATAGCCAACTCTCTACTGACTTAATGGCCAACAGCACCGCTTGCAGGCTTATCTGTAGGGCAGGCCAGCCAGGGTTTCCGCAAGGTAATCAGGAAGGAGGAAGCAGCTCTGGAAGAGCTCCCACCAGCTGACTCTTCAGCGCCACGCTGCATGCCAGCTCCTGGGTTTGGAAGCCGGGGGGTTTTGTTTGCCTCTCCCGCCCCATCACGCACTCTGTTCAAACGAGGCTGCGTTCTCGTCCTTCTCTTCCAGCTCTTCGCTGGAGGACATGGTGCCGTTGGAAGACAACCGCTGCAACTTCCGGCTAAATTCACCTGCAGAACATGACCCGCAATACGGAGAGGGATGATTAGGCAAGCCAGCTCTCTTCAAGGGAGATGGGTGCATTTCCCACACCCAAACGCCTTGCCCCATTCACCGCTCCCTAGCTGCCAGGATACTCTACCTGAGCTTGAATCCAGGCTGCCTTCGGTTTCAATCATGGACGTCGGCCAAGATTTATGGACCTGGTGCCCCCGTCCACCTGCAAAGCAAACCACTTCAGACATTAGATGCCATTTGCTGGATTCATGGAAACAACCCATGGGAGCCCAGGACCAGGCTGAGTATTGCCGTGCACGAGAGCGCATTCTCGAGTCCTAGGTGCAGAAAGGGCAAATCGGCTGTCAACCGACCCCTTTCCGAGCAACTGGATCAAGAAATGGCCCCGATAGCAGAGTCCGCATGGTTCTGCATTGACACGCATTCACAAGATGCACAAGAGCTCCTAGTCCTTCAGGGCAGCAGCTTGCCAAGGTAAGGAAGACCTATTCCTATCTGACAGCACCAATACCATAGGGTAGATGGAGGGATGGTGATACCTCCTCCAACCCACGCATTGTGTACTACACTTGGAGACCCAAAATTGGGCTAGAAGGACCACAGGTCTGCTGGACACGAACAAACAGAGGGATGACAGACCAAAAAGCCTGTATCCTTTAGGAAATGAGGTTGGCAACATCTCTTCCCCAGCTCCTCCACAACATATATCACACTTGGCCTTGGACCCATTCCTGTGTGATGATCACTTGGGATCTTACTTTCCATTCCTCTGCCTGAGAGTCGGGGGGCTGCAATAGAGTGACCGTGCTCAGCTCCAGCCCGCTGGAGAGGATACCGCGTGAGACCCCTGCCAGCCGCTCACCTCTCCGCTCGACGTGCACCGCCCCACTGTTCTGCTCCTTGGTCGCTGCACCTCCCTCGGGGATGCCCGTCTCTTTGGAGGGAGAAGCCCCATCCACGCTGCTGCTTGCAAAGTCGTTGGCATTGAAGCTGCCTTTCCGTGCCCGAGCAAAGGGCGACCTAAGGGGCAGGAAGAAGACAAAAGGAATCATTCCAGTAAAGGGGAGAGGAAAGAGGCACTTGGGAAGGACTCACTAGTCTGCCCTCTATCCTGGATACCCAACAGCGTGCCTCACCAGTGGCTTCACCATCCCCAGTCCACGGTGAACCTGGGATGAGCAGGTATATCGGAGTGGGGGAACTGAGGGGGTCGGGGCAACACTGGGAGCTTCCAGATAGTCCTGTCCTGGGCTTCCCCAGTAGGAGTTTCTGCAAGGGGCAGGTGTGGATGCTGGCTTGGAGAGGGGGAATCCTGTTACCCAGCTTGTGTTTCCCAGTAGGACACATCGTAAGAGCTCTCTCCAAGTTGACGAGATGCTTAGTACCCCTGCCCAGGAGAGAGGGTCCCGGGCGGTGGTGGAGGCTCTCTGACACAGACCCTATGCTAAGGCTCTGGCTGTCCTACCAGGCGATCTGTGACACGTAGGGCTCGAAGTCATACTGGGTCTCAGGCTCGTCTCCCCGCTGCAGCTGCTTGACGTGGGAGGCGTACTGCTGCCCGGGGTCATACAGCTTGCTGCTCTCGCACAGTGTCTGGAAGTAGACGGGTAGGGCAGCCGTCTGCATGTGCATGATCTGGTAGAAGGAGATGGTGGCCTGAAAGGGACACAGATGGAGGGAGGGTCAGAGAGGGGCTCAGGAGCGATTCTGGGCAGAGCAGCCCCGAGACCCTGCCTGCTAGAGCTAGGGAGACCTGAAACAAGAAACCTGGGACACTGCTTGCAGCGTTGCACCTCGAGTTGAGGCCTGGCTTGTAAGAGCCGGAGGGACTGGAAGCAGCTCTTCCTCCGTGCTAACCTCAGAAGCAGCGGCCGCTGGCCCAGCTGTGGACGGCTGGGAAGATCTTGACCTCCCAGAGCCCCGTGTGTGGCAGGGGCTTGCCCCGAGCCCCAGGTGCCCCACTGAGCCAGCAAGCCCTGCTCACCGATTTGATGACCTGGTCGCTCTGCTTAATGACTTCGTGGATCTGCCGCAGCACGTTCACCTTGGTGTCCTCCAGTTCCTGCTTCTGCGTGTTGGCGTCAGCGATGCAGGTCCGGTACGTGGCCTGCGCCTCCTCGGCCTGAAAGCCCCAGGGGACAGCGGGAGGTGAGAACTGCTCCGTGGGACGGCCCGAGCAGAGGACAGGGCCTCTAGCTATGACCTCGAGCGAGAGGAGGGGGGAGCTCCATCCCAGGACAGCGAGAGATGTTTTCCGAGCGCCCCTCACCTTGTTCTTGGCCTCCTCCTCCAGCCGCCTCTTCTTGTCCAGGGTCTTGGTGGCCGTGCTGCTGCTGGTGCTCTGCTGCTCCTCCTCAGCCTTCACTGTCACGTGCTTGGCCTTGTCGTGCTCCTCGCAGCGCTGATTGTACATCTGCTTGGCCTTGCGCAGGTTGGCTTCTGCCTCTTGCTGCCGAGTGAAAAAGGAGGAGACTCAGACCACCAGCTCGTTGGGGCAGAGCCTGTCTCTCTGTGCACGCAGGTCCGGGGCCAGCAGCGTGTGCTTGTTTCTGAGGCCAGTGCTAAGGACTCAGGAGTCTGACAGCATGGTTAGAGGGAGGCTGC